GAGGACCTCCCCCAGCGTTAGAACGCCAACTAATTGTTCGTAAAATGAAAGAGTATTAGCCTAGCCAGACGTGAGAGGCTCAAGGGTAAATAAAATTCTATTATTACCGATAATATAACCAATTATCACGGACCAACCTGATTTGGTCGCTTACCCTTTCGTTGGCGTGTGCCAGTCCGGTTCTTGATTCTCGTACCGATTTTTTCATGAATACCTTACAGCCCCGAGATCCCAACACCTTCATTTTCTAGGTTGCAACACCGTTGTCTAAAAGGCCGAGAATAGTACGAGATCCCGAAGTACTTTTTCTAGGTCCTTTGTTAGAATTTCCAAGGACTCAAAGGGCCTTTTACAAATACTCTACCTTTTCCCCTTAAAACCGAAGACAATTCAGTGATCTTAGTTATTGCGCAGGTTCGTACAAGGTTTCGAAAGATTGTCTTATCTATACCAGTTTATTTGCGACGTTCGACTACTCTTACTACGCGTCTGAACTGAATAGAAAGAGTAACTACATTTCCACCGGAAAACCCAGAAGATCCAAATTTCCAAAACCGGTGTTTATCGACATGTCGTCACGTCACCTCGGAGATTTCTAACCTTAAACTTGGGTAACAAACAGTGTCAACACATAATAGTGACAGATATTCGGATATCCTACTGTATATAGACATATATATATACACGTGCACCTCGGAGTTGATGAGATGGAATCGATCTTGTCGGACTTATTACATTGAAAGTCCGAAGACCTAAACTTTGTACGTGAGACCATTCATTGTACCAACGAGGAGTGTGTACATCGAGACAAAAGATGGGAAAGATGAGGTTGTACGGGACTTCCTTTACCCGGTAAAGACTATCTCTTCAATTTCGACCGTTTATTATGTCGGCTCCATACTCTCATTGTGGTTCACACAAAAAAACTGGAGTCATTCAAAAGAAAAGACAAAACTTTAATGAAAGTTTTCAAGGAAGGTGAAACTTTTGGTGAAGGAGAAGAAAAAGAGGAACTTGGGTCGACTTTCGTAGCAGACCGAGTTTCATTCTTGGGATAGGTTGATTTAGAAAACCAAAAACTATAGAAGTACACGGTGCCTTTTTGTTTTCAAAAGAAAAGTGTTAGAAAAATCAAAAAGTATGATTTAAATTGTAATCAACGTCCCCCACTTTTGCGAAACAAAAATAAACAACAAAGAGACTGTAAAGTTCAGTAAAAGAGGGAAAAACGTGAGAGTTACTTCATCTCTCACGTTTGTGAAAGACCAAGTGTAAGTTCTTTGTTTTGTTGTTTTGTCCTGTTTTTGCATTCTGAATCAGTTGTTTACCGAGTTGAGTTCTTCATTTTTGTGTACCTTAATTTTTTTGGAATTTATCTTTTTTTATTCAAATTGATGAAGAGTTCCTCACCCCCCCCCCCCAGTCTTCCAGTCGGCTTCGGCGAGGGACTGGTTGTAAGTAGCCAAGAAGAACGGGAACATCCTAGACAAAGTCCAACAGATACTTCTGACCCGATTGACCTACACCAGGAGGACACGGTCGTCCTTTCAGCGTGGGCACGAAACGAGTCCTTGAGATACTGAGAGGCATCACGGCGCCCGACTACAGCAGATCAGCTCTCACGCAACACAACTACATGCGGCTCTAACACCGCAGACTCGCGACGGACGTTAACCGCGAAACAGGCAACTGTAATCGAAGGGTCTCAAGGAAAGAGGCGCCCTTACGGCCGCTTCCGGGCCACGCCAGTACCACGTGGCGGCGTCCTACCAGCCCTGTCGTGGCACGCGGTCACCGTGCGGAGAAATGGTGGGTCCTCCCTACTACCGCGCTCCAAGCAAAAATGGGTCCTCTCCGGACTCGCGGCGCTTCGGTCTCGTGCAGCAATTACCGACCCAACGCACAGGACCAACATCCGATCCACTCCACCCAGTTACCGCGGCTCCCTCCGGTCGGGAACTTCGGCGTTTCCCATGGGGCCACGAGGCTACATGGAGCGCTACCACTTTGTCGACCCTCATCGCAGTAGGGGCACCTGCGGCGCAGCTAGTGCTAGAACCATCCGGGCAGAGCTCCGCTACACCGCCAGGAAGAGCGTCCGCGCAGTCCCCGCCTGTCGCGTGTCACAGACCCCCAGAAAGTACCGCGCGTCGGTCCCGCTCCCAGGACCGCGTCGACCGGTCGAGGAGCGCGAACCCCCATCAGGTCCGACTCCCGGCGTCCTACCACATACACCCTGCTACTGCCACCGGCGGTGCTTCGACCACGGAGCCTAGGCCGCACTTCTCTCCACATGGTTCGAGACCTCCTACGAGTGGTGTGCGGGCGTCTGGACTCCTCCTCTCTCCCCAGCGTCTATTTGTAAACACACAACCATTTCTAAATATGCTATGACTACCAAACTAAATCATGGAAAATTCTCGGATAAAACTCAACTATAGGGTTACCGAGTCAGTAATCCTCCCCCGAACCTGACCCTCGACATCCAGCTGCCAAAGTTCAGGAGCTGGTTCTGGATTTATACCTCACACCTGACTGATGAACCTCTCCAGGGTCAAGTGGAGGACGGGACGGCACCACGGGAACTCGTTCCGTGACCTTGGGGGCAGGGGGGGAGTGAGGTAACGAGGGGCCCGCGATATGCGTTATCGACGGTGGAACGAGGATCTTGATCTGAGGGACCATAATCGCTACCAATTTACGCTGTCGTGTATGACGGTTTTTACACAACGAGCACGGTACACACTTGGTAGGATCATGTCCTCAGATTCAAAGATCGCGTCACGGCTCGATACCATATTCGCGGCTCCTCGTTACTCCTAAACACTAGCCCCCTTCACCCACACGTCACGGACGTAGTCAACATGTGCCGAAGTCACCGTCCTCCACTTGACCCTGGAGAGTTCATAGAGAGGGGAGAGGTACAAGTCCACACCAGTCTCCTAGAAGTTGTAGCTGGTGAATGTCGACGTCAGGTTCGGATTACGTTCTCTGTAACCTTACATAAAGTCGATGAAGCATGTCTCCCTGATTTCGATTCTGGTCATAAAGCCATATTCAGCGTGAAATAATGTTGATCAAACAGACCAGGACGAGAGTAGGAGTCCAACGCTGCAAAACAAATCACTAAGTACGACGTCTCGTACCATGGACAGAAGTCGGCACGCTCCGGTCGTAGGCAGCGCGTCGACACTGTTGTTATACGACGCGGAAGTCGACCTTTTTTTGCTCGACCTATGGGGGTCGCGCTCCTCGACGGTCGACGCGGTCCTGGGAGCGGGACGTCACCGCGGTACTTTCTGGGGGTCTTGACACGCGACATGGCGGGACTGCGAGACGCTCTTCCTGGTGTAGCGGAAGCTCTGCCGGATGGTCTAGCACTAGCTGCGCCGCAGGTGCCCTACTGGATTGAGGGTCGACAAGTGGTAGCGCTCCATGTACCTCGTGGCCCCCATGGGAAACGGCCAGGAAGTTCGACCGGAGGGAGCCGGTACTGCGGTGGAGTTGGATCGGATGTTGGTCCTGTGCGTGGGTCGGTAATTGCTGCACGAGACCCGAACGCGCGAGTCGGTGAGAGGACCATTTTTGCTGCTTGAGCGGCGGTAGTAGGGGGACCACCATTTCTCGCACGTGACGCGGTGCCACGACAGGCTGTAGGACGCCGCCACGTGGTACTGGCGTGGCCCGGAGCGGCCGTAAGGGCCCTCTTTCCTTGAGACCCTTCGATTACAGTTGCCTGTTTCGCGGTAACGCCGTCGAGGATCTGCGGTGTTAGAGCGCCGCATGTAGTTGTGGTTGCGTGAGAGCTGACTGCGTGTAGTCGGGCGCCGTGATGCCTCTCAAGTATCTCAAGGACTCGTTTCGTGCCCACTGAAAGGACGACCGTGTCCTGCCTGTGTAGGTCAATCGGGTCAAGGTATCTGTTGGACTTTTGTCTAGATGTTCCCGTTCTTCTTTGACTACTACAACCAGTCCCTCGCGAAGCCGACTG